TACGGCCAAATGTGAACACTGGTGGAGTTTGGGGAAAAAAGAATCTTGGCATTCAAGAGTTGTAGTTGCTGGGATTTATAATTCACCTACAATCAAAGAGCATTCTGAACCCCGCCAACGATAGAATTGGGCCAAACTTCCCACACAGAACCCCTATTGTGGGCTACAGCAACGCATGGCAGGGGACGGCTAGTATATATATAAAAATATAACCGAAGGCTTTCTTTGCCTGCCGTTTTATGGCTCTGTATGGAACAGCTAAAATAAAAAGGGGTAGATGTGCGAAAACGTCTTCCGGGTAAATGTTTGGTGTGCAATAGGACGTTAAAAATAACCACCACCTCTTAAAAATACATCGAGAGGGAAAAGGTCAGGGACGCCAATGGAAGCCGGAGAGAAGAAGAAAAGCACATCTTTCGGGGAGGTTTGTCTCTGTTCCGAGCCAATCTGTTCCCAGCTGACACTTTTTTTCGGTGTGTAATACACTCCTGTTTAAATGAGAGCAAGAGCGGGGAAAGATTACCATATTTCTTTGGTAATGAGCCACTACAAACCCTTCGACTCAAGCTGTTAACAGCTGTCACTGTTTCCGCTTCCCTGACTCCGAAAAAAGTGTTTGCGTTTGAGGGAGAGAAAGAGAATTCCTCCCCCAAGACGCAGCAGCGTTCGCAGATCGATGGCTTTGCTCTGCCCGAACGTAGGAAAGGAATCGTTCATTCAATGGCTGGGAAGACCTGGGGCAACCTCCTAGTAGTAAAAGTTCAGAAGACTAAGATGAAACATCCCAGTCAGTTGGGCCAAAGAGCACCTGAATTATCCAAGGATGGGAAAGGAGACTCGGGCACTTGTCTAGTAATGTGAGCCACAAAATATTTTGGAAAATGCTTTTAGAGAAGAGCCAAAAAATCCTTTAGAGTAGAATCTTCTCTTATTTATTTTATTTCGAACACTTTTACCCTGCCCTTCTCCACCCCCGGGGGGGACACAGGGGGGCTTCCAATTGGCAACAATTCGATGCCGCATCATAAAATACAAAACAGCAATTATGACAGCTAAAAAACATAAACATTAAGACATAAATGTATTGTCGAAGGCTTTCATGGCTTGTTGTAGGTTTTTTCAGGCTATATGGCCATGTTCTGGAGGCATTCTCTCCTGACATTCCGCCTGCATGTATGGCAAGCATCCTCAGAGGTTGTGCGGTCTGTTGGAACTAGGAAAAAGGGTTTATATATCTGTGGAATGACCAGAGTGGGACAAAGGAGTCTTGTCTGTTGGAGCTAGATGCGAATATTTCAACTGACCACCTTGATTAGCATTTGATGGCCTGGCAGTGCCTGGCACCATCTTTTGTTGAGAGGTGATTAGCTATCCCTGATTGTTTTACCTCTGAGGATGCCTGCCAGTAAGCAACAGGATCATAGATAAATGTTCTGACAGGTTAACTGTATTTCATTGCATAATAGTCGCTCCCCTAGTTTTGGGTGGCAAGATTGATATTTTTGTGTTCCTCGCCTAAGGATCACAGAGCCATTTGGGACTGATTCTCCCCCTTCCTTCCAATGAAGGTCTAACACAGGCATGGGTCTTGGTATTTTGGACTCCCCAAATCCCTAACAGCCTAATGCAACTATTATGCGATGAAATACTGTTCTAGAATCCCAAAATTCCTAACAGTGTAATGTGACTATTATGCGATGGTGTTTTGGACTCCCAAAATTGTATTCCTAACAGCTGGTCATGAAGCAAGAAAACTGACAGGTTAACTGTATTTCATTGCATAATAGTCGCACCCCCAGTTTTGAGTGGCAAAAGGAAGGAAGGGGGTCGCAACCCCTTCCTTCCAATGAAGATCTAACACAGGCATGGGCCTAAGTATTTTGGACTCCCCAAATTCCTAACAGCCTAATGCGACTATTATGTGATGAAATGCTGTTCTAGAATCACAACATGTTCTAAGTCCAGGATTCAATACATCCTCACACACACTCTCTAGCCCCGCTCCAAGTGTCAATACTATTAATTCAATGCTATCCATCCAATATTATTCAACACAACAGTACAGAAGGGAAAGTAAGTGGCGAGAAGAACACAAAGTTCTCATCCAAGGATGTTTCTAAAACTCAATGATTTTAGGAAAAGCAACGAAGACATGTAGGAACTTTGTTGTGACCCTTGTTTAGCTGACCCCATCAATGTGGAATTTGCATGCCCTCGCCCACTGCCTCTCCCTTAACCCTTTCCTATTCTTTCCTATGGCAAACAGAGGAATCGATCAGCAATTGAACATGCTAGAGAGGTTTGGTTGGGGAGAATTCACCATGATTTATAAGAGTTGCAGGTACTGGGATGTATAGTTCACCAGCAATCTAAAGAAGTCTGAACTCCATCAATGATGGACCTGGAACTAACTTGGCACACACAACCCCCATGACCAGCGAAACATACTTGGAGGCATGCCGAATATATGATATGCCAGGAAAAAATTCTGGAGGTCTTTCAGGGAAATGTACCTTGATTTGGGGGAGTTGTAGTTCACCTACACCCAGAGAGCACTGTGAACCCAAGCACTGATGGATCTGGACCAGACTTGGCTCACATACTCGATATGCGAACTTTGATTACTGAAGGGGTTTGGGGGGAACGGACCTTCCTTTCTGGGAGTTGCAGTTCACTGACCACAAGAGAAACGGTGACCTTTACCGATGATAGACCTGGACCAAACTTGGCACACAGAACTCCCATGACTAACTCGATCTCCTGGAGGAGTTTAAGGGGACTGACTCACCATAGTGAGAGTGGTAGTTTACCCTACAGCCTGCTGTAAATACTGGCAAGGTTTGGGGAGGATGGATGCAGGATGATGGGATGTGTAGTCCACCCACATCCAGAGAACATTGTGAATCCAAGCACTGATGGATCTGGACCAGACTTGGTACACATACTTGATATGCCTAAATTTGATTACTGGAGGGGTTTGCGGGGAACTAATATCCTTTCTGGGAGTTGTAGTTCACTGACCACAAGAGAAACTGTGACCTCTACAGATGTTGGACCTGGACCAAACTTGGCACATAGAATCCCCACAACTAACTCAACTTACTGAAGGAGTTTGAGGGGACTGACTCACCACAGTGGGAGTTGTAGTTTACCCTACGGCCAGAGAGCACACCGAACCCCACCAATGATGAATCTAGAGGAAACCTGCCCAACATGACAAACTTTAAGAACTGATAATAGACCTAGACCAAACTTGGCACACGGAATCTCCATGACTAACTCAACCTACTGGAGGAGTTTGAGGGGACTGATTCACCACAATGGGAGTTGTAGTTTGCCCTACAGCCTACTGTAAATGGATGCAGGATGATGGGAGTTGTAGTCCACCCAAATCCAGAGAGCACTGTGAACCTCACAAACAGAGATTCATAAGATCCTGAACCAAACAATGACGATATCTAATATTGATCATTAGAACAAATCCCAATCTAAGTCCCTGGTTCTCCACCTTCCTCATGCAGTGACCCCTTTCATACAGGTCCTCGTGTGGTGGTGACCCCCAACCATAACATTATTTGCGTTGAGACTTCATAACTGTCATTTGGCTACAGTTATGAATCGTAATGTCACTATCTGATATGCAGGAAGTATTTTCATTCACTGGACCAAATTTGGCACAAATACCCGATACGCGCGAATTTGAATACTGGTGGGGTTGGGAGGGGGAGTTGTCACTTGGGAGTTGTAGTTGCTGGGATTTATAGTTCACCTACAATCAAAGAGCATTCTGAACTCCTCCAAGGATGGAACTGATCCAAATTGGGACACAGAACTCACATGACCAACAGAAAATATTGGAAGCTTTTAGTGGACGTTGACCTTGAGTTTTGGAGTTGTAGTCCACCTACATCCAGCGAGAACTGTGGACTCAAACCATGATGGATCTGGACCAGACTTGGCAAGAATACTCCATGTGCCTAAATTTGAACATTGGTGGTGTTTGGGGAAAATAGACTTGAGATTTGTAATTGCTGGGATTTATAGTTCACCTACAACCAAAGAGCATTCTGAACTCCACCAACAATGGAACTGAACCAAATTGGCACACAGAACTCGCATGACCAACAGAAAATATTGGAAGCGTTTGGTGGGCGCTGACCTTGAGTTTTGGAACTGTAGTCCACCTATATCCAGAGATGTATTGATCTGGACCAAACTTGGCATGAATACTGAATATGCCCAAATGTGAACACTTGTGGAGTTTGGGGAAAATAGACCTTGACATTTGGGAGTTGTAGTTGCAGGGATGTGTAGTTCACCTACAATCAAGGAGCATTCTGACCCCCAGCAATCAAACAATGATGGATCTGGACCAAACTTTGCACGAATGCTCAATATGCTCAAATGTGAACACTGGTGGCGTTTGGGAGAATAGACTATGACATTTGGGTGTTGTAGTTGCTGGTTCACCTACAATCAAAAGAGCATTCTGAACCCCACCAACAATAAAATTCGGCCAAACCTCCCACACAGAACCCTATAACCAACAGAAAATGCTGTGTTTTCTGATGGTCTTTGGTGACCCCACTGACACCCCCTCTTAACCCCCCCAAAGGTCCCGACCCCCAAGTTGAGAAACGCTGGTTTACAGGAAAAGAGAGATAAGCAACCCTTATCTGGGTGTAAGATCAAGAGAAATGCTTTCCTTTCAGTTTAGGGATCTGGAAATGCTTTATATTGCTTCATGGGAAAGAGTTGCCTCAGTTGGGTCAACGTTGGAATTTCATGACGGTCTTGCTTTCGAGTGTTCTTAGTTTCATGTACCAAGTTTTTGCCAAGCTCCTGGTTTGTGTATCAGATTTTTCATCTATCTATCTATCTATCTATCTATCTATCTATCTATCTATCTATCTATCTATCTATCTAAGGGTGGGTCGAAAGCCACCTTCGTCTCCAGGAGGAGGCACAAAAAGGGTCGGAATAAAAGGCGTTGCACTTACCCTTCTCTCTGGTACTCCTCGTCCAAATTTGACAAGAGCTGGGACCCTGCTACAGAGAGATCTAGCGCGGCTAGTGGCAAGTCCCGATAAGCAAAATTAACAAGCTGGACGGGGGCAATGCTTTTGGTCTCTTCTTCTACTTGTTGGGATATTATTTCAACTTCTGACACTCCGCCTTCTATAGGAGGCCTAATGAATAAAAAGGCGACAACAAACAAAGGGGGGAAACACAAAAACAAAAGAATACACAATCAGCAAGGAGCGCAACACCATCCTCTCGGCGAGCGGCGACATTTAGAGCGGTCATCAAAACAGTACGTTATCGAAGCGTCATCGGCAATAATGCAGAGCGAGCATCGTTTACACATGGCTATTTGCCAATATTGATGTCTACGGAGCATGCCTATCCCTGTGCATCGACACCAGGCATCTGCATACTATGACCCTCTGGCTGTTTTGGACTACAACTCCCACAATTCCTGGCCTCAGGCCCTTTCCTTTTCCCCTTCAGCCGCTAAGCGGCTGAAGGGGAAAAGGAAAGGGCCTGAGGCCAGGAATTGTAAGAGTTGTAGTCCAAGACATCTGTCACAAGAAATCATGAACTGCCTGCTTGCTGGACTGTAATTAAAGCCTGCTAATGAGAACTGAAACGGCAAATTTCAGTTCTAAGTGGCTGAGGGAGAAAGGGAAAGGATCTGAGGCCAGGAATTGTGGGAGTTGTAGTCCAAGACATCTGTCACAAGAAATCATGAACTGCCTGCTTGCTGGACTGTAATTAAAGCCTGCTAATGAGAACTGAAACGGCAAATTTCAGTTCTAAGTGGCTGAGGGAGAAAGGGAAAGGATCTGAGGCCAGGAATTGTGGGAGTTGTAGTCCAAGACATCTGTCACAAGAAATCATGAACTGCCTGCTTGCTGGACTGTAATTAAAGCCTGCTAATGAGAACTGAAACGGCAAATTTCAGTTCTAAGTGGCTGAGGGAGAAAGGGAAAGGATCTGAGGCCAGGAATTGTGGGAGTTGTAGTCCAAGACATCTGTCACAAGAAATCATGAACTGCCTGCTTGCTGGACTGTAATTAAAGCCTGCTAATGAGAACTGAAACGGCAAATTTCAGTTCTAAGTGGCTGAGGGAGAAAGGGAAAGGATCTGAGGCCAGGAATTGTGGGAGTTGTAGTACAAGACACCTGTCACAAGAAATGTAATATGGATATGATATGTGTGACTATGAATGGAACTTAATGAAAGGTGAATAAAAGAGAGTTAATAATTTTGGAAACCGCCTTCTGACTATTGAGACCTGCAATGACAAAATCATGAACTGTCTGCTTGCTGGACTGTAATGAAAACCTGCTAATGAGAACTGCAATGACAAATTTCAGTTCTAAGTGGCTGAGGGGGAAAAGGAAAGGGCCTGAGGCCAGGAATGGTGGGAGTTGTAGTCCAAGACACCTGTCACAAGAAATATAATATGGATTTGATATGTGTGACTATGAATGAAACTAAATGAAAAGTGGATAAATGAGAGCTAATAATTTTGGAGACAGCCTTCTGACGAATGAGACCTGCAATGACAAAATCATGAACTGCCTGCTTGCTGGACTGTAATTAAAACCTGCTAATGAGAACCAAAATGGCAAATTTCAGTTCTAAGCGGCTGAGGGGGAAAAGGAAAGGATCTGAGGCTAGGAATTGTGGGAGTTGTAGTCCAAGACACCTGTCACAAGAAATCATGAACCGCCTGCTTGCTGGACTGTAATTAAAACCTGCTAAGGAGAACTGAAATGGCAAATTTCAGTTCTAAGTCGCTGAGGGGAAAAGGAAAGGACGCGAGGCCAGGAATTGTGGGAGTTGTAGTACAAGACACCTATCACAACAAATATAATATGGATTTGATATGTATGACTATGAATGAAACTAAATGAAAAGTGGATAAATGAGAGCTAATAATTTTGGAGACAGCCTTCTGACGAATGAGACCTGCAATGACAAAATCATGAACTGCCTGCTTGCTGGACTGTAATTAAAACCTGCTAATGAGAACCAAAATGGCAAATTTCAGTTCTAAGCGGCTGAGGGGGAAAAGGAAAGGATCTGAGGCTAGGAATTGTGGGAGTTGTAGTCCAAGACACCTGTCACAAGAAATCATGAACTGCCTGCTTGCTGGACTGTAATTAAAACCTGCTAATGAGAACTGAAATGGCAAATTTCAGTTCTAAGCGGTAGAGGGGGAAAAAGAAAGGGCCTAAGGCCAGGAATTGTGGGAGTTGTAGTCCAAGATATCTGTCGCAAGAAATATAACATGGATGTGATATGTGTGACACTGAAAGGTGAATAAATGAGAGCTAACATTTATGGAGACAGCCTTCCGACTATTGAGGCCTGCAATGACAAAATCATGAACTGCCTGCTTGCTGGACTGTAATTAAAACCTGCTAATGAGAACTGAAATGGCAAATTTCAGTTCTCATTAGCAGAACAATGGCTTCAAAATAAAGAAAAGAGATTCCACCTGACCATAAGGAAGAACTTCCTGACTATGAGAGCTGTTCAGCAGTGGAACTCTCTGCCCCGGAGTGTGGTGGAGGGTCCTTCTTTGGAGGATTTTAAATAGAGGTTGGATGGCCATCTGTCGGGGGTGCTTTGAATGTAATATTCCTGCTTCTTGGCAGAATGGGGTTGGGCTGGATGGCCCATGGGGTCTTCTCCAACTCTATGATTCTATGATTCCATGAAATTGTGATAAAAACTATGACGGTGATAAGAGGAACTGTTTACATCCATCAACATTGGCTGACCAGAAATTGGATTAACCCTAAACGAAATTATCTCTGTTTACGTTAGTGGTTTTCCACCTTCCTACTGCCGCGACCTCTTAATACCCCCAACCATAACATGACCCCCAACCATATTGTTTTTGGTGCTACTTCACAACTGTCATTTTGCTATTGTTATGATTCGTAATGTAATCATAACAATAGTGTATTCTCATGCTCTGGACCAAATGGGATTGACTTTGTCATTTGGGAGTTGTAGTTGCTGGGATTTATAGTAAACCTACCATCAAAGAGCATACTGAACTCCACCAATGATGGAATTGAACCAAACTTGGCACATAGAACATCATTACCTACACAAAATACTGGAAGGGTTTGGTGGGCATTGACCTTGAGTTTTGGAGTTGTAGTTCACTTACATCCAAAGAGCATTGTGGACTCAAACAATGATAGATCTGGACCAAACATAGCATGAATATACCCAAATGTGAACACTGATGGGGTTTGGAGGAAATAGACTTTGACATTTGGGAGTTGTAGTTGCTGGGATTTATAGTTCACCTACAATCAAAGGGCATTCTGAACTCCACCAACAACGGAATTGAACCAAATTTGGCAAACAGAACTCTCACGACCAACAGAAAATACTGGAAGGGTTTGGTGGGAATTGATTTTGAGTTTTGGAGTTGTAATTCACGTACATCCAGATTGCACTGTAGACTCAAGCAATGAATACTGGTGGGGTGAGAAGGAGTTGATGTTGTCATTTGGGAGTTGTAGTTGCTGGGATTTACAGTTAACCTACAATCAAAGAGCATTCTGAACTCCACCAGTGATGGCATTGAACCCATCTTAGCACACGGAACTCCCATGACTAACAGAAAATACTGGAAGGGTTTGGTGGGCATTGGAGTTGTAGTTCACTTACATCCAAAGAGCACTGTGGACTCAAACAATGATGGATCTGGACCAAACGTGGCACGAATACTGAATATGCCCAAATGTGAACGCTGGTGGAGTTTGAGGGAAATAGACCTCGACATTCGGGCATTGTAGTTGCTGGGAGTTATAGTTCACCTACACCCAAAGGGCAATCTTAACTCCACCAACAATGGAATTGAACCAAACTTGGCACTATATATATGTGTGTGTGTGTGTATGTGTGTGTATATGTGTGTGTGTATATATATGTGTGTGTGTATATATATGGGTGTATATATATGTGTGTTCTTGTATGTGTGTGTATATATGTGTGTATATATATGGGTGTATATATGTGTGTTCTTGTATGTGTGTGTATATGTGTGTGTGTATGTGTGTGTGTATATATGGGTGTATATGTGTGTGTGAATATATATGTGTGTGTATGTGTGTGTGTATATGTGTGGTGTGTGTATATATATATGGATGTATATGTGTGTATATATATGGGTGTATATGTGTGTATATGTGTGTGTATATGTGTGTGTGTGTATATATATATGGGTGTATATGTGTGTGTATATATGTGTGTGTGTATATATGTGTATATATATGGATGTATATGTGTGTATATGTGTGTGTGTGAGTATATATATGTGTTTGTATATGTGTGTGTGTGTATATATGTGTGTGTATATGTGTATGTGTGTGTATATATATGGATGTATATGTGTGTATATGTGTGTGTGTGAGTATATATGTGTGTGTGTGTTTGTATATGTGTGTGTGTGTGTGTGAGTGAGTGTGACAGAGAGAGAGAGAGAGGGAGAGAGAGAATAAAATGGAAATCTTTTCTGGGAATATTTTGTCAAGCCATGGATGGAAGGAGCCCGATTATGGCCTCATTAGCTCCGTTGCTTCCAAACGCTCTCATTTGCACGTTAATTGCCTTCTCGTGCGCTTTCCCATCGGATCTCGGCATTGTCCTCTTCTCCTTAGGGAGGAATCCAGAAATAATCTAGAAATGCCAGGGATGTTTGCAGAACATTGGCTTTGATAAGGCTTTTTTTTTTTTGCTTCTTTTTCCATTCGTGCCAAACTCTCTCTCTCTTTTTTCTTTCGGGGAGAGAGGTTCTTGCATAATTTGGGGCCTTGCGTTGACTCTGAGCTATTAATATTATGCAGATGATTATCCAGGTCACTTAAATCATTAGAGGGTTTTTTGATCACCTGCTTCAGAGGGAAGTCGGCGGCGCAGCGGCTGCAGCCGGATCAGAAGAGGAAAAGCTCAGTCCCGAAGAAGCCTTTTTCGGGCTGCTTCCCACAGGAAGTGAATGCCCCTTCCCAGGATGGATTTCCAGTGTATTTTGGTGTGGACGCTTCCTCTCCACGGCCAATAATCATAGTCCTGGCGGCCACACTTCTTTCTATCACCAATGTGACAATATCACAGACCTTGGAGCTGCAAATTGTTTTTTCAGATGCAATCATA